TTCACCCTGTGCTAGGGATGCTCCCAGGGAGCTGCGAACACTATGAGTTAAATTCTGGAGCAGATTATAAAATTTTCACTCTGCGAGCAGCTTGAAAACAATACAGTGATAACTGGAAGCCAACACAAATTTGTCAAGAACAAATCCTAATCTTTTCACAGTTTTTGATCTGGTAACCGCCCTGGTAGATGGTGGGAATGCTGTAGATTTCATATATCTTGACTTCAGTAAAGCTTTTCACCAAGTGCACCATGATATTCTGATTAGAAAGCTAACTAGTTGTGGGCTGGACAGCAGAACCATCAGGTGGATCCACAGTGAGTTACATAATTGTACTTAGAAAGCACTTATCAATGACTCCTTCTCAAACTCGGAGTAGGTAACTGGGGGGGGGTACAACAAGGTTCAGTCCTTCGGCCGATGGTCTTCGACATTTTCATTAATGTCTTGGATGAGGAGGTGCAGATTTGCAGGAGACAGAAAATTGGGTGGAATAGCTCATACCAGAGAAGGGAATATTCAAAAAGACCCTGAAATGCTCAAGAATTGGGTTCAAAGCCACAAAATTAAATTTAACCAGGATAAGTTAACAAAGTTAAACCCCCTTGAGGGGGAAAACAAATGCACAGTTATAAAATGGGTTATACTTGGTGCATTGATACTATATGCAAGAAAGACATTGGAATTGAAAACCTTTCTGCTTTCTTTTCTTATGATAGAAAAATCTGACCAATCCCAATCAAACAGACTGAACTGGCTCATAAAAAAAATCACAGGTTTAGCTTCCAAGTACATTTTAAAAAGAAAAACAATTTTTAAAAAAATCAAGCTTTCAACAAGGAAAACACGTCCTGCTATGTTCAGGATTACAGACATCATACTAACTACACTGCATATGGTGATATACACTCAATGCAATTATGTCACAAAACATTCCAGGTGTACCAATTACTTCATCAATTTTCTGCTCTTTTAATGAGATCAATTTATAGAAGCCATGAGTCTCTTAAGTCTTTGCCCTTCTTCACAGTTCAGAACACCATCTCCCAAGACTCCCTGATCTGTCTCAGCTTCCAAGATTGTGACTGAAACAGCTTTTTTGTTTAATTAAAGCAGATGCAATGCCCAGTTTCCCAGCCATGTTTTGCTAAAGCAGACTTTTCTTCCTGACCCAATCTAAGGTAGCGTCGATGTTCTTTGCATCGGATTTCAGTGCTTCTCCCTGTCTGTCCTATATGTATGTCAATCCACATGAATGTGGAATCTGATAAACACCGGGAACCCCCAAACCCAAAGAATCTCTGACAGAGAAGGAAGTTGTAAGTAGCAAAAGAGAGGCGACACATGGCCCATGGACCTCAAGCTGCCTGTTTTGAGGTTCCTGCTGCTGACAAAAAAGGAAAAACAAAATCACTTCAAGAATGGGAGAGGGGAAAACGGTCTGTTTCCAAGGGAAAGAGACACCCAGACCTGCTCATGACACAAAAAGCATCTATTCTACACCACAGAGATGCATTGCAGTTCCTTTAGAGGTTTGGGCTCCAACCTAGATGTTTCTCACTTTTGCTGTATTGTGAGGCTGGGCTGGTAAGTAACCTTTTCTGCTTGACCTGCTTCCTGTAGATACCCTGATGATAAACTCATGAGAACCCATGCTACGGTTCTTATGTGTTTATCACCGGGGTATCCATGCTCAGTATGAAAATGGTGCTGCTGACAGAGGCAGACAGAGAGCTTCACGGTCCACCAAAGGCTTGCTCTAAGAGAGAGTTAAGCAACCTGACATTCTCCAGCTGTTTTGAACTACCCGTTCTGTCATCCGTAGCCAGCAGGACGAATGGCTAGAGCTTACACCTGAAAAGCAAGGAATTGGCAAGTCACGTTTCATACAGTACTTCATTTGCTGTAACTCCTCTGGGTTAATTTCCTTTCCAGCTGCCATGATGCTCCATCTATTTTCATGCCTGATTCTTTTCTTTCTGGCGAGTCTCACTTATGCCTCTGAAGAAGATACAGTGGTGGTCACTAACAGTGGCCCTATCCGGGGCAAGCGCCTTACCACAGCTTCTGGCATGGTGACAGCATTCTTGGGAATCCCCTACGCCGAACCTCCATTGGGGACCCTGCGTTTCAAAAAGCCCCTTCCCCATGAGCCCTGGAGCCACATCCTGGAGGCCACCAATTATGGCAATTCCTGCTACCAGGAGAGTACAGAACGTT